ATTTTCCATTACCCAAAGGGTTTCCATTACCCTCAGGATCATTCATTGTATCAGTAACAACCACCTCTGACTCAACTTGTTGCCTCTGGCTCTTCTTTCTCTGTTTTCTGCCTATGTTGATGTCTAACTCGACCAAGTCCTCTGTAGATGAGCTCGATCGAGTTCGCATACACCTGCAAAACAGTCAAAACCCCAGCAGTACAAGTAACAAAAGGTGGGATAGTGCTTGATCGTCTAAGTGATTTGAAAACTCAAATGCAACAATAATAAACCCAAATGGCAACGGCGCCAAATTGATGAAAGGATGTTACGTGGATGGTGATGAAAGTATAGTATGAGATGGACGCAAGTGAAGTGGAATGTAGATGAGATGGTATGGTAAACAGATGCAATCACAATCAATCAATTCCTCTTTATCATCATAATCATGTAGTATAAGAGGTTATCAATCCAAATGGGTAATTTGCTGCTCTATGAGAATATGCAAACACAAGAAAGTCAAGCCAATTGATTAAAAGGATGGATGTAGCAACTAACAACCTAAAATGAAATGAAAATGCAAGAAACAAATAAATGCAAGGCAGCTCGACCAAGAGCTCGATCGAGTAGAAACAGAGTAACTGAGCTTGATTAAGTCGAGGGTCGAGTTAGCGTAAAAACAGAGGAAATGCAATGTAAAGCGATAAAGGTGCAAACTTTAAACTATTAAGACGGGGATTAGGGCTAAAGAAAGGGTTTTGCAGCTCGAGAGAGGCTATACTAAATCAACCTTGCTCTTAAACATCTTGTACTCAAGCTATCTCTTGGTATTGAGCTTCTCAAGCCTAGCTAACCCTTTCCCAAGGTGAGAGCTATCATCCAAGTGATGCGGGTTTAGATTGCCTCAAATTTTCACAATTTATAAACCCAACTAATGAGCTGCAAGTGCACAGCCGTGTTGTAGTCGGGGTCGAACACGAGGAGGAAGTGTTCTCGCTTAACACCTTGTGAGATTGGTTTGTAGCTAGCTCGCAATATGGATGGTTTTGGACCTAGAATAAGAAAACAAAACAAAAGAAATGTGAGTGAGGTTGTAAACAATTTAAAACAAGAGTTAGGCAAAGGACAATCATATGGAGCAATGATGAAAAGATAGTTGCATGGGATGTGTGTAGAGCCGTCTTGAACATGAATCACTAGTGTATGGTCTTTCCACTGTCGTGGCTCCAACCACTATGTTTAAAACAACCTAATATACTCAGCTTTCGTTGGCTATTAGAATTGCAAACATGCATTAAAGGTGATCAAGATTCAATTGTTCACAATAAACCATAACTCAGCTTTCGTTGGCTATGATCTATTGCTCACCAAATACTAGTTTTGAGATCTAGATTCAGCACTGTCGTGGTTCTATTTCTCTAAGATCAGATTACTAGATGTACGGTAGAGTAATCATGCATTAAGCTCAAGTAAAGGTGAAGATCCATAAGATAAATCCCAATAAGTTGCAACACAATCAAATCATCACGGCCACCATAGATCTCCTCGGCCTAACTAAGAGATCTACTCGGCCATGATGCAAACAAGCAAGCAAAGCATGATTGTAAACATTATGCAAGTATTAAAAGAGATAAAGGGATGAAGAAAGCTTCTCTATTGATGAACAAAGTCGGATTCTCCCTTGAAAACTCTTAAGATCAAGTTTATAGAAATGGAAACAATGAAAAAGAAAGAACAAGAGTTGAGCGGCGCCTCCTTCTTCTTGGACGATCTCCTAGGGCTTCTCTCCTTCTCTCTTCTCTGACTCTCTTTCACAAACTACACGCTCGATCTCTTCTTCAGCGGCTAAAAACATGTATATATGGGCGAAGTCGCGTAGGGTTTTCTTCATGCCGGAAAAGGAAAGTTTCCCATGAGCCGAGCCTTCTTCTCCACGTCGTGTATGGGCCGACATTGTACCAAGGAAAGCTCCAAACATTAGCCAGGCCTCTTCTCTATTCGATCAAGGCCTTTGGCGCTGCTGCTCGGGCCATTAGACACTCCAAATCCTCCATGGGCTTCGTTTGCTCGCTTACCGGACATGTCTCGGTAGAAAATAAGTCTAGGCCTCATAGTTGATCCAAATGGCTTCATTCCACTTCGACGTGATGCATGACTCAAGTATCTATCTTTCCATATCAAGATCGTAACTTTTGGACGTCGGGAACTCCTCCGCGCGCGGCCAAACTTCCGAAGCTTCGTTCTGCGCGCTAGCGAGAACTAACACTTGGAGATAAAATGATGTTCTTGACTTGGAAACTTGCATGGATCTTGATTTAGGGCTCTTTTACTCCTTTTTGCATCCTTTTTGATTTTCACCTACAAAGACTTCAAATCCCACAAATACAAGAAAACTACCTCTAAAGGCAAAGAATCTTGCAAAAACCGTTTGAAAACATAATATTATATAGTAAAATCATGTAAAATATGTGATATCACCAAGGCAGGATCTCAGAAACAGGAGGTCACCCAGTTAGATCAAGCCTTGGAGGCATTAGGATCATTGCTCAAACTAACCCATCCAACACCTATACACCCTTTTTCGAGAGGCAAGCATATTGGAGCTCTTAGTGGACTTTTTTATAGACTCATACACACCATGGTCAGTGGTTGTGCAGCCTTAAGCTTTGTCCAAAAGAGAGAGATTTTATATTAAGAACATAAAGCAAGAGAGATTAAGCATAAACAACCTCTAACAATCCCATCTTAAGCCTTAAAGAGAACTACTCACTTATCATGGCGAAATACTCAATCAAATGCAATAAAGTAGACATGGAAAGATAGAGGAGATGAAACTAAAGAACTTTTCTTGAAATAACCAAGTGCAGAAATACAAAGATAGAGCATAGATCTAAGGTTCAAGAGCAAGAGCTCAAGAACACAAAGAGAGGCTAATGTTTTTGGAAAAAGTAAATTACAAAAATTAAAGCAAAAGCAAAACAAGATTAAGCTAAAGGAGAGTCTATTTTTCGTGGCTACAAGCCCTTAAATAGGAAATGGATTAGGTTTAGGGTCAAAGGGGAGTCAAAGGGAAGCAACATTTTTCAGGTTTGACTTTGACTCCTAGAATAGCAGCTCGATCGAGTTGAGTCTTGGCCGGTCCAGTTGGTGAACTCGACCAGTTGGTCGCGCAGGTGGTCGAGCTGGCTTCTAAGGCGACTTTCTTCTTCACTCCAAGCATGCGCGGTTAAGCTGAGTCCATGCACAATGTCCTTCCTATCTCCTCACGTCCCCATTGCTCCATAATGCTCCAAATAGACCTAATTAAGGATCAAACATGCACATGTATGCAAATGCAACCTAAAACTACAATGTATGCATAAGAAAGGAAAATGAACAAGATATGATGCTAATGAATGCTAAAACGATGTAAAAGATATACTAAAACTATGTAAAATGCAAGTACATCAGTTTACCATTGCACTTTTCCCACAATTCTTTGAATTCAGCATCACTTTCATACAACTCCTTTAGTAACTCAAAACCCACAATCTCATGTGTCAGAGAGTCCCAGACTTATGCTGAATAATGAATGGAAACTTTTGCAGAAAGCTTACCCATCGAGCATGCATCTTGTTTATCACTTTCTGACTATGAAGGAACTTCAGAGCTTGGTGGTCAGTGAACAAGATAAACTCTCTCTGAATCAAGTAATGCTCCCACTGTCTTAGAGCTCTAAATACTGCATAAAACTCTTGATCATAAGTACTCCATCTTTGGCGAGCCTCACTTAACTTCTCACTAAAGAAAGCTATTGGTCTTTTCTCTTGAGATAAGACAGCACCTATTCCAACTCCACTAGCATCACATTCAACTTGGAACACTTTATCAAAATCAGGAAATGCTAAGACTGGTGCAGTACATAGCTTCTCCTTAATTAAAGCAAAACTCTTGTCTTGTTCAGACCCCCAAAAGAATTTCCCTTTCTTCAAACACTCAGTAATAGGAGCAGTAATGGTACTAAAATCTCTAACAAATCTCCTATAGAAGGTAGTAGACCATGAAAGCTACGTACCTCAGTGACTGATTTAGGGGCAGGCCAATCCCTAATAGCTCTCACTTTCTCCTCATCAACCTGAATCCCTTCTTCACCAACAACAAATCCTAGAAATACCAGCTTGTTGGTACAGAATGTACACTTCTTCAGATTAACGTACAACTGGTTTTCTTGTAAGACTTGCAAAACCTGCTTCAAATGATCCAAGTGCTCTTCTTTGGTCTTGCTGTAAATTAAAATATCATCAAAGTAAACAACCACAAAAGAACCAGCGAATGGTCGAAGAATCTGGTTCATCAATCTCATGAAAGTACTAGGAGCATTTGACAACCCAAAAGGCATCACCAACCATTCATACAATCCATCTTTGCTCTTAAAAGCTGTCTTCCATTCATCTCCAGGCCTGATTCGAATTTGATGATATCCACTACGAAGATCTATCTTTGAAAATATCTTAGAACCCGCCAACTCATCAAGCATGTCTTCTAGTCGAGGGATAGGAAATCGATACTTGATGGTTATCTTGTTAATAGCTCTACTATCAACACACATTCGCCATTGGTTACCTTTCTTAGGAACAAGAAGGACTGGCACTGCGCATGGGCTCATATCTCGAATAAACCCTTTCTTCAGCAAATCCTCAATCTGTTCCCTTAAAATCTCATTCTCCTTCGGACTCATACGATAGTGGGAAGGTTTGGTAAGCTAGAACCTGGAATCAAGTCAATATGATGTTGAATATCTCGCATAGGAGGCAGGTCATTTGGCAATTCATCTGCAGTCAACTCCTTGAAATCTTCTAGAATCTCTAACACTTCTTCTGGAGTTGTTGCTTCCTCATTCACCACACTCATTAACCCTTTAACTACCACAGGGAAGAAACATTTAGTTTCTTTGAAAGCTTCGTCTAGCTCCTTTTCACTATGTGTCATTACCAAGAAATTGGACTTCTTTTTCCCTGCGCTTTTATCAAAATCCAAAACAGGAGCCATAGCAATTTTATGTATTCCCCAAGTGAACAATATCACATTATCTCGTCCTCGATATGTGATATCATTATCATATTGCCAAGGTCGACCAAACAAAACATGACAAACATCCATGTCAAGAACATCACAAATTACTCTTCCTTGTAGTGTTTCCCAATGGAGATGGGAACTTTGCAAGTCATTGTGACTCGAACTTGTGAGCCCTTCTTTATCCACCCAAGAGGATATGGGTTCTCATGTTCTTTTGTTGGCAACTTCAGAAAATCAACCAGCTTTTGAGAAACCAAATTCTCTGTGCTTCCATTATCCACAATCACATTACACACTTTGTTTTGAATTGAGCAGTGTGTTCTAAACAAATTCTTGCGTTGTCCTTCGTCCTTAGATGACAATAAGATTCTCTGAAGCACAATGTTTATCTTCTCATGTGACTCCTCTTCAGCAAATTCAACCCCTTCATATTCATCATCCTCATTAAACTCTTGTTCTTTGTCTTCTTCTTCTCCTAGCAAAGCAACAGTTCTTCTGCTTGGACAAACATTTGATTTGTGACCTTGTCCTTGGCAACGATAACACTTATCAAGAGATGGTTTAGCATAAGGATTATTCTGCCTTTGAGCTGGTGCTTTACTCTGCTGAGTAGTGGTAGAACTACTAGCTCCTTTATTTCCAGGGTTGGGATCTTTGCTTACAACATTCTTTTCCTTTTCGTTTGCTGCCTCGTAGTTATTCTGAGGTGTAAACCTCTTGAATGAAGAAAAACTGCGAGTTGACTTCTCCATTAGCTCAGCCTTCAAAGCTAAACTAGAAGCCTCTTGCACAGTCCATACGGTCTGCAAACCAATTCTCTTGTATAGAGCTTCTTAAACCACTGATGTATCTAGCCACCTTTTGATTATCTGTCTCTCCTAGGTCATTGCGTTCAGAGAAACGCACAAACTCAGCTGTGTACTCTGTCACTGTTCGTTTACCTTGAACACATTCGAGATACATCTTGTAGAGAATCTGCTCATAGTCTTCTGGTAAGAACCGATCAAGCATCAACTGCTTCATTCTACGCCAAGTCTTGACTGGTCCTTTTCTTTGCCTTTGTCTTTGGACAACAAGTTTATCCCACCATACAGCAGCAGTTTTCTTCAGCCTGATTGCTACCATCTTAACTTGTTTGCTCTCAGGAACACCCATCACATCGAAGAATCTATCAACATCAATCTGCCAATCCAGAAACTCCTCCACTCCCATAGTTCCATAGAACAATGGAATATCAGCCTTTACTCTATAATCATGATTGTTTTGTCGATTCTCTTGATCAGCCTCTTCTTCGTCCTCAAGATCTTCATCATCAGACTAGAGATTTCGACATTAACACCACGATTGTTTCCACCATGTTGAACCCTAACTGGCTCTGCGGCACGATTGTTTCTGCCCTGTTGAACCCTAATTGGTTCTCTTCCCCTATCTCTTTGCCCTGCGTTAACAACTTGATTGGTGAAAGCTGTTATCTCTTTGCCCTCCGTTAACAACTTGATTGGTGAAAGCTGTTATCTGCCTCATGGCTACAACTTATAAGTGTTTACATAGGAAAACAAAACCCTAGAAAATATCCAAAACTGAGAAGGAAAAACGTAATTAAAGAAAAAGGAAAATTAAGGAAATCTCTTAAACATCTCCTACATTAGGTTACCTTCTGAAAAGCCATGGTTAGGGCAACTCCTTGTATACTCCTTGAATATCTCCAATGCTTCATAGAAAGACTCCATTACTGCTTGCTTAAAACCAGAAATCTTGCTCCTTATAGAGTTCGATCTTTACTTTGTGTAGAATTGTTTTAAGAAAGCTCCCCTGTATTCATTCCATGTTGTAATAGACTGCGTTGGTAAAGACTTGACCCATCTAAGTGCCTTGTCACTTAGAGAAAAAGTGAACAACTTGCACTTGAAGTAATCCACATACACTCCATTGATGCCAGTTGTGCTGCATATCTCCTCAAAGGCGTCGACATGATCAAGAGGATGTTCACTGGAAAAACCATGGAAATGGTTTTGTTTCACCAAGGCAATGACCTGAAGCTTGATCTCAAAGTCGTTCCTTGATGGTAGAGGTGGTCGGATGGGATTCCGATCCATTAAGAAAGCATCGGAAGAATCAAAATCTCCCATAGTTTGGTGCCTTAGATGCTGAGCGAATTGTGCTCTCCTTGAAGGCACTTGAGGTTGAGCTTGAGGCATCCCTTGATGGTCACCTTGATGATGATGATGGTGTTGATTATTTTGGAGCACCGGAGGTTGTTGTGGTTGATTATGAGATGGCTGCGGCTGCTCGGCAGCACCGGGAGCGTTTGGATTGGGTTGAGGCGCGGCTCCAGATTCTTGTGGTATATGAGGGTTATCAGCCCTCTCTTCTTGGTCAGAAGGCTGCTGCTGCCTATTTGGTGCGCCTTCTCCGCCTTGATTCATCCTCTCTCTTCTTTGTCGCCTTAGTGTTCTTTCCAGCTGCTCAATGTCAAGATCTTCTTCTATTGAGTTATTTGGATTGGACCTTCTTGTCATTCACCTAAAAAACACACAAAGAGACATTTAAGATAAATTTTAAAGATTTTATGGAAAACAAAAACAAAGATGCAAAGAAATTAAATGAACTAGTCTTGAAATCAATCAAGAGGTGTGAAGGAATAGCTACTACTCCCCTGCAGCGGTGCCAGAAAGCTTGATGTGCTTTGGGATTGCCCCAAGTTTTCACAATTTTTAACCCAACCAAACGACCTGAAAGTGCACAGACGTGTTGTAGTCGGGGTCGAGAACAAGGAGGAATTGTTCTCTCTTAACACCTTTAGAGGTTGAAAATGAGCTAGTTCGCAATATGAGTGAGATGGGAGCCTAAAATAGGAAAGATACAAAGACAAACTGTAAGTAAGGTTGTAAACAATTTAAAACAAAAATTAGGGAAAGGAAATTCATATGGAGCAAGTGATGAAAATATAGTTGCATGGGATAAGTGTAAAGCCGTCTTGAACATGAATCACTAGTGTATAGTCTTTCCACTGTTGTGGCTCCAACCATTATGTTTCAAACAACCTAATATACTCAGCTTTCGTTGGCTATTAGTATTGCAAACATGCATTAAAGGTGATCAAGATTCAATTGTTCACAATGGTCCATAACTCAGCTTTCGTTGGCGATGACCCATTGCTCACCAAATACTAGTTTGGAGATTTAGATTCGGCACTGTCATGGTTTTATCTCTGTAAGATCAGATGATTAGATTTACGGTAAAGTAATCATGTATTAAGTTCAAGTAAAGGTGAAGATCCATAAGATAAAATCCCAACAATATTGCAACACAATCAAATCATCATAGCATCCATAGATCTCCCCGGCCTAACCGAGAGATCTACTCGGCCATGATGCAAACAAGCAAGAAAACATGATTGAAAAATTACGTTTATAAGAGCTTATGATCATAACTGTTTGCAGGTACGAAGCATAAAACCAAATATTTATGTGGTTTTCTTAGTTTGGGAATCACATTTGAATCATTCAAAATTCTGGGGTGATTGGTCTTTTTGAGAAACAATCAAGAATTTATTATGGGATTATGTGGATGAAGTCTTTAGGGAGAACAATTATCTTATAGAGACTCTGGTTACTTTATTGGTATAGATCAGGAGGTAGAAAAACAAATGAACAATATACCACTATTGTTGAGGCTTTTCTTTTGAATTTTTGAAGACGGAGAACAACTTTTGGAGGATACTTTTTGTTCAAAGTTGTGATATTCATATGTACATGTTATATTTGATGCTTACTATACACACCATAAATCCAATTCTGACAACAACAAGCACAAGTCCGCTAAGATCTGAAAGCTGTTAGGACATGAGTGACATGCTAAATTTGGTGCAGGATCTAATGATCTGGTAAGCTTTGGATCATTTATGTGAGATTCTTAGATTGAATCATAGAAATTTGAATGAAATAATCTGTTGAATTATTCACACATTTTGATTTAGGAAAACAAAGGCCGACACTATTCTTGACTATGCTCCTTTTGGGCTTTCGTAAAAAACACACTCCCGGTGAGTAAATCTTTTTTTTCTGAAAAATGAAATGTTCTTGTCGGTCTGTTACATATGCAAATTTTTTGTATTGAACCATTGCTGAATCATTTCAGTATAGTGTAACTGAAGTATAATCCTATTTTAGAGTGGACTTAAAGAAAAGCGAAAATGACAAATCTTGGTTCACAAGAAGAACACTCAAAAGGTTTTAAACAACGTTTTGCTTTTCCCTCTTTACCCAAAAAATTGAAGTAGCTTAATTAAATGTTGCTTGGATTTTTTTCGAGAGATTTGTTCACTTGGTTTATTGTCCAGAATTTTTCTAAATAGTCAACATATTTGATTTTGAGAAGTCACAGTTAGAAGCAGTTCAGACATTGTATAGTCTCGTCTGTTAAATTTCTTCTTCGTTTCATCAAAAATTTAAGTTTAAGACCAAACGTCATCTATTTTTTCCCCCATTCTTAGACGATGGAGGCGTAACCGATGCAACAAAGTAGTAAAGATCTTTCTGCTTTTATATTGGGCAAATACTCAAACTGCATGTTGAAAAAGTGTATTCATGATTGCTTTTCTTTGTCAATAATCAGGAAGGAGACAATTAAAAAGAACTTAACCATATCCATTTCTTACGAATCAAAACTAATGATTTTGACCCTTTAATCCGTTGGGTGTGGTTACAATTATAACATTCATACGATTTTCTGTTACAATTATACATTATTCAAATTAAGAGGAAACTTAAATTTAAAGTAATAACAAACAATCACATATAGCATTTAGTGTACACAAAATAAATAAAAAATATAAATACTAACACAAACATTTTTTTGCAACTCATCATGGAAAGTGCGAACAACACAAAACACAAGCTGCACAAGAACATCATGGCGATTTGTCTTATATTTCTCGACAAACTCAGGAACTCGGAAAACATAAATACTTTTGATTTATAGTCATGCAAATCGATTATCCTACAAAATAAGATGTCCTTATTGTAGAAGAAAGTTTTTTTAACATGTCCATATTGTAGAATAAAAAAAATTGTATACATTGGTTATAAAAAAAAAACATGTTTGTTAGTTGATAAGGTTTACCCAATTTTCTTTAACGAATGAGAATCATGATCAATTTATTAAATCCTGTTTGATAAATCCTTTAACTAAGTATTTCAAATCCTTTTGATCAATTTTCTATGTTATATAATATTTAATTAAATCATGTCAAAATGAAATATGGTTACAAATAGTAAGGCAGCTAAACAAAATAAACAAAGAAAACACAATATTCACTCAAGCATCCTTTATATACTAAAGCACAAGTCACTCGTCCAATGGCAGAGTGACATGTGTTAAGTTTAAAGAAAACAAACGCTAATCGAGTCCACGTCACTAGCCTTTACAAATTAGAGCAAATTGTTATCACTAATTTGGAGATTAGGCAATGTGTAAAGCCCATCATTTATATTAAGCCCAAAAACACAAATAATATAAAAGAATAATTATATAATCACGTTTTATATTTTGTCTTCCACGGTTTAGAGGAAAAAGAAATCACTAATTTTTCATTCCTAGCTCCCCACTCTCTGATCATGGACCTCGAAACCATGAACTTAAATTCATTTTCCGTTATCAATTTCACTCAATTCCCATATTTTTTCGTCTTCCTCGATCTTTCATCATATCCAGTTCATCTGTTTTTGGTTTTGTTGTATTTCTCCGTTTC